TTTCGCATTTACTTCAAACTTTTTCTTATTTTAAGTTGTGATTTCTTTGGGCATCAAATGTTCCAGTAAATATTTCTGTAAGAGTTCAGCAAAATAGAAACCTAATATCCATTGTAGCCTTTGTTTCTTATCATTAATACTGTTGTTTGCTATTTAGAGATTCCCAATGATCCATTTGATTGGTCTGAAAGAAATTATTACTACATTTGTTTATTTGCAAAAATCAACAAAAATAATTGACGACCATAAGTAAAAAGGCTATTTTAAAATTAGCATTTCTGGTGTAGCATGCTCTTATAAGCATGGGACATGATTGTGACTAAATTCAGGACCAGAATGCTACAGGTATCTGGTTAGGGCAGGGGTTGGCAATAAAAGAAGAAGTTACTCATCTTTGTGCAGTAACGATGGTTCTTCGAAATGGGTCCCTGTGGCTGCTCCACTGATGATGGTGTTGGGCTCATCCCAGCACCGCAGTTCAGAGACTTTCAATAGCTGTGTTCAGCCAAGCCACGCATGCACAATCAACAGCTCGTGCCTTTGCATCCTTTGATTGCCGTGCGCACCCAGCTCCCCACTCTGTTCCTCTCACCGTTCAGTATCTGGAAAGAGAAAAGAACAACTCCGGAATGGGGAGGAAGGGCGGGACGTGGAGCACCTACGGGGACCCATCTCGAAGAACTATCGTTACTGCATGAAGGCGAGTAACTTCTTCTTCTTCTTCGAGTGGCCTCCGTGGGTGCTCCACTGATGGTGACTATGTAGCAGTACCCCATGTGCGTTTCTGGAGTTAAGGTTTATTAATGACAAAGTACTGCTGAAGCCACTGAGGAATCTGCTGCCCACCACTGAACTATTGCATAGTGGTTCATAAAGGTTAAATTTGAGGACCATGTGGCCACCCTGCAAATGTCCAGCAACGAGACTCAGCAGGCAAAGGCAGTGGATGTTGCTACCGCCCTGGTGGAATGTGCCCTAGGTAAAGTCCGAAGGGGCTTGTTGCAGATTGAGTAACAGGTAGTGATGCAAGAAACTATGATCTTAGAAACACGCTGGGAGGATAACAGATTGCCCTTGGAGCAGTCCACTATGGATACTAGTAGGCGGTCCATTTTGTGCCAGGTCCGCATTCTGTCTATGCTATAGCTCGATGTACATCAAGGGCGTGGAGCAGCGATTCTCAAGCAGAGGCATGCGGTTTTGGATAAAAGACCTGCAGAACAATAGGTTCATTAACATGAAATTGTGAAGAAACTTTGGGGATGAAAGCAGGGTGAGTGCACAACATAAGCGAGTCTCTGTTGAAAACCGTGAAGGGTGGCATTGCCGTTAATGCTGCCAATTCACTGACCCTGTGGGCAGACGTAATTGCTAATAGAAATACCACCCTCATGGTGAGCATGGATAGTAATGTTGTGGTTAAAGGCTCAAATGGCGGGTATATCAAGGTGTCTAGTACCAAGCCCAAGCTCCAAGAGGGAGGTTGGGGTCTTCGGGGAGGTTTGAGGTTTGCTATTCCCTTAAGTAATCCCTTAAGTCAGCGGGTGGGCGAAGATTGAATGCCTGTTGATGGTTTCATGGAAGATGCTAATTGCCGATAAATGCACTCTAAGGGTAGAAATGGAGAGACCAAGGACTAATCAAGGATCTTATGTATTGGTGCAGAGTGTAGATTGATGTCATTGTTCTTACACCAAGCCACAAATGCATTCCATTTTGCCAGGTAAGTCTTTCTTGTAGATTCTCTCCTACTGTGCAACAGCACCGCCTTCACCCTATCTGAGCAAAGGCACTCATCTATGTCGAACCAGCTAGGAGCCATGCTGTCAGATGGATAGTCTCTGATCTAGGATGTAACAGGGAGCTGTGGCTCTGAGAGAGAAGATCTGAGAGGAGGGGTAGGGGATGCGATGGTTGCAGGGACATCCTGTGGAGAAATAGGTACCAAGGTTGAATCCTCTCTGATTTTCTGTAGCACCCTCGGTATAAGCACCATCAGTGGGAATGCATAAAGCAGAGGTCTGCCCCAGTGGGCTAGCAGTGCATCCCCAAGGGACCCCCTGCCTACACCCCCTCTCGAACAGTATAGGTGACATTTTCTGTTGTCGTAGGTAGCGAAAAGATCTATCCGAAGGGATCCCCAAGCATGGAAGATGCGCTTCAGGACATTGAGATGGATTTCCCACTCGTGGTCGTGAGGGAAATGTCTGCTGAGTGCATCTGCCATAACATTGCTCATGCCTGGTAAGTAGGACGCTATCAGGGTGATGTGATTTCGCACGCACCAATTCCATAAGTGGACTGCTTGTGTGCAGAGCTGTCGGGAACGTGCTCCTCCTTGGCAATTGATATAATACATAGTGGCTATAATGTCCATAAGAACCCTGACAGTCATACCGATAATGTGCGTCCGGAAATATTTGCAAGCGAGGAATACGGCTTTTAGTTCCAGGAGATTGATATGTAGAATGGCCTTTGTTGAAGACCATCTTCCCTGCACGGACATGCCATTGATGTGTGCGTCCCAGCCAACAAGGGAGGCGTCTGTAGTCAGTTGGCTTGATGGCTGCTGGCGTTGGAATGGTACCCCTGCTAGTAGGTTTTGGAGGTTCAACCACCAACCTAGCGATCTGTGAACTAGAGCGGTTGGATTTATCACTTTGTAAGCCCTGTGTTTTGCGGGGGTATATACTGACACCAACCAATGCTTCAGGCAGCGGAAATGGAGTCTCGCACAGTGAACCACAGAAGTGGTGGCAGCCATATACCCCATGAGGTGGAGACATGTGAGCACAGTCACTGTAGGGGCGTGGATTTTGAGGCAGAACTTGGTTTACAATTTAGTCATACATGTTAATTATCAGTCTCAATTATTTACATATATTAATCATGAGCATACAATTGAAACTTCAAACCAATTTAAATTATATTTCCTCTTAAAGAAAAAAACTCTTCTGAAAAAGATTTTTCAAAAACATGTCAAAAACCAGATGCATATAGACAACAGAAATATCAACTGAATCTTAATTACTACAGGTCTTTGAGACACCAAAACACTTGTCTGCATATGGTATTAGCAGCTAGGATTTCAACAACAGTCTGCTATTGCTTCTGAATTTGAGTTCAATGCATGAAAACCCTACTCAAAGTCTTAAAAGAGTTAAGTATAAAGAGCATAGATGAAAGTAAGAGATTTCCTACCAAAATGCTTTGAAGAGATTTATGTTCACTAGAAATCTGATCCCACATGGTGCAAAGTACCAAAAATATCTCTCACAATCCAGAAAGTTCCAACCCTCTAGTGAATCAATCAAGAAATGGAGCAAGAGCTGCTATCAAGCATTCAGGATATAGTCAAAATCTATGTACAGTTAAATGTCTTCTCATTTTCCATTTAAGTCACTGATTCATTGCCAACCCATTAATAAAAGTAAGCACCACCTGAAGGCAGTTTGGTGATCTATGCAAAATGACTTTGTTCTTTCTATATAGTGTGTGCCTGCTGGTCAGATGTGCACATCACAGGACCTGCTACCATAACTGACACCATGTGGCATCCACTGTTGGCAGTGGTGAGAACTCAGTCATGCACCGCATTAAATATAGTAAATTAGCCTTTAAAACTATTCTGAATTCTGAATCTCTATCATTTTCTGGAAAATGCAACAATGTGAACTATTTACAAGAAAACCATTTTTCTCTACCATGCAAGAAAAGGCATTATCTGTCACTTGCATACATCTTTATTGTACCAAAAATCAGATATTTATGCTCTTTCATGTACAGGCAGTCCCCGGGTTACGTACAAGATAGGGACTGTAGGTTTGTTCTTAACTTGAATCAGTATGTAAGTCGGAACTGGCATCCAGATTCAGCCGCGGCTGAAACTGACCAGTGGCTGAGTACAGGAAGCCCGAGGCAGAGTTGCTCTGCCCCAGGCTTCCTGGAATCAGCCGCTGATCAGTTTCAGCAGCAGCTGACTTGGGGACGCCTGAGGTTCTTAAGTTGAATCTGTATGTAAGAACTGGCGTCCAGATTCAGCCTGTTGAAACTGATCAGCGGCTGATTCCAGAAAGCCCGGGGCAGAGCAACTCTGCCTCGGGCTTCCTGTAGTCCGCCGCTGGTCAGTTTCAGCAGTGGCTGACTTCGGGACGCCTGGGGCAGAGCAGCTGGGGTGCTGCTGGGTTGCTCCAGTAGCGCGGCTCCTCCAGAAACCGACCAGCAGCGGCTGAATCAGGATGCCTGGGACAGAGCAACTGGGGGGGCGCCCCGGTGGGCCCG